GTCAACGCATATATTCAATACAAGAAATAAGAAGTTCCATCTGGGAGAGAAACTGAGGAGCCAGGGAATAGGGGTAAAAAGGACGATTGGTTTTCACTGCATTCCAACTTATAGCTTTTTGAATTTTGTACTATTCCAGACATTTTAACTAATGCAAAGGCAAAAAAACAAAAAAAAACAAAAAGTCTCCAGCCCTGCAGAGTCAGATTCTCTGGGGAAGGGGTCGGGGGCTCTGCGATTTTGATAAGCATTATGTGTGATTCTTGTGCACCTAGAAGCTTGAGAACCCCTGACAGAGAGCATCATTATTAAAGCAAACTTATCGAAAGAATAATAGCAACAATGATGTCAGCAGTAATGAATACTTATTTTGAAAGATAAAGCCTAACACACCACTGCCAACATCTTGCACAAGCGTTCCTAAAAACAATTCTTTGGCACAACCACCAGGTGACTGAATGATTTTACATCACAACCAAGTAGTCCTTGTTCTCTCTGGTGTTCAGTTTTAATCACTGTGAATAATTTCACCAGCTTTTTAAACTTTGTAAAATGCTTCTGAGCTAAGTAAGAGCATAACAAGCCTTACTTGAAGTTACATGAAAAAGAGAGAAGTGGCCAAAACCGGTTTGGCTCAGTGGATAGAGCGTTGGCCTGCGGACTGAAAGGTCCCAGGTTCGATTCCGGTCAAGGGCATGTACCTGGGTTGCGGGCACATACCCAGTAGGAGATGTGCAGGAGGCAGCTGGTCGATGTTTCTCTCTCATCGATGTTTCTAGCTCTCTATCTCTCTCCCTTCCTCTCTGTAAAAAAATCAATATATTTTTTTAAAAAAAGAGAGAGAGAAGTGATTTGCTCAGAGACAGCACATCTCCAAACTCAATACTTCCCAGCTAACTACACATGACTTTATGTATTCATAAGAAACCTATCAATCAAAGAAATGGATACTTTGAGATTCCCTCAATCTCAGCATACCTGTGTTGCAAATCACAACTGTGTGTTTCTGAGATGCTAGAGGAGAAAGGACATAATCTCAAGTCTCAGACAGTGCTGCCTCCCCTCTGTTTCTCAATTTCTTTCCCTTTCAATCCAGATGAAAAGACAATACAGTGGCGTGGTTAAGGGCATGTGCTCTGGAGCCAGACTGCCACTGTGTAACACTGGACAAGTTACTAACTTCTCTGTGCCTCTGTAAAGACATCTGTGAAATGGGACAGCAACACCTCACTTACCGTGGTATGAGGATTAGATCAATCGATACATGTGCAGCACTTTGTATAGAAACTGGCACATAGTAAGCAATAATATTTGCTATTATTATTTCAGACCCGTCTTGGAGTGTTAACGGAATAGAATCCACAAAAATAAGGGTAAGAGCTAGGGAAGGGGTGGAGAGACGGAGAGGAAAACTCTGTAATGGCTAAAGAGAAGACACAGAAGGCAAACAACAATGAAAAGTTGGTTGTTTCCAAGAAATAAAAAACCAACTACAAGATATTGAAGCAATGGGCCAAGCAAAGCAAAGCTGTTTTTTCCTTGTTCTGCGGACTGCTGGGCTGCCAGACGTTTCCATTTTCCGGTCTGGGTAGGTATCACTGTATAAGTTTTCTATTGGGGGGTTGGGTTAGGGGGTGGCAGCACCTCTTACCAAGTCTGTGTTCATAAATATGACCAGGACTCTCGCCCTCTGTGGCCTAAGGCAACAGGGGGACTTGGCCTCCATAGATCCAAGCCTGGGGAGTTGAGGGAACCAGGAGAAAGCTAGGAGATTCCAATCCCACCAGCTTCCCTAGTCAGGGAGCAGCCTGCGGAGGCCCCTCAGACTCGGGGACTCAGACCAGACCAGACCCACCATCGCCTCATTGCCCATAAGCTGCACATGGGCCGATGGGCAGCAAACACAGATGGAAGGGACCTTCAGAACACACCGCCTGATTTCTCTGTTATATGTTCGCTGAGGCCCAGAGAAAAGAGACTTGCTCAAAAGCTAAGGGATATCTAGATAATTATCTTACCACGGGGGACCGCTTATGACCAAAATATAAGCCTTTCTATTAATTAAACATTAGTTCATCTTTAATTGCTGTAGTTTAGCCATTTTTAAATGTTTGTTCTTTTTTTGAAAAAGCCACAAAGAAAATGAGTATCTCTTTAACAAAAACAGTGATATTGACTGTGGAACGGACATGTCCCTGTGACAGCTGAGCAGGGAGAACAGTGAGGACCAGCTGTCCTGCTCGTTCTCCAGTGCAGATTTGGGACCTGTCTTAGTGGACTTGGTGGGGGTGTGATCGCTCACTCTGCCGTGAGTCTCAGAGGTCGACGTGCACCTGCAATAGCCTGACTCTCCTTTAGAAGCTATTTAGAACTATTGGCCAGAATTTATCTATCCAAAGTTCCTATGAACTCAGGCTTTCAGCCTGTAATATCTTATAGTTGAAACTGAAGACATCGTATGATTCCTTTCCTGTACAGATCCTACAAAGAGCTAGCACCTTGACCCCAACCTTGTCCCCGCCTCCAAAACCCATAGCAGACGGGCCTGCGTTAGCTGGAGCTAATGGTTCAGCCACACAGAATCCATCTCGAGGTCCCAAGTGGCCAGAGCTGCACAGAATCTTTACCCACAGACCCTGTTTTCAAAGATGTGATCTAACAAATTTATTAATAGTTCTCATATAAAATAACCAACTCATATCTGACCGCCCTTTAAAGCTTCCAAACAGGAGATTCCCAAACTGACTTACTATTTCAACCCAGAAACAAAACACATCTTAATTAGCTAGGGCTGTCTTATTCTACGTCCCCCTTCCAGCCTCCCACACACCTACCATTTCCTCCTCAGAGCAACAGGGATCTGAAGGCCCCATGGACAACGCCCAGGCGAGGAGAGGCCGTAACACACCGAAGGCACCACGCTGCCTCGGAATGAAAGCAGCCTGGAATCTGGCGGAGTCACGAGGACCTGCTGTATTGCCCTTCCAGCAGCTGACCTATCTATAATCTGAAATTACATCAATTTTCCAAGGACTGGGGAAAACATTGCCCATGAGCAAGAAGTTAATTTACTTGCAGGGGGAAATGAATGGCTCCCTTTGCTTTCCTGACCCTCCCATAGGCACCAGGAAACAACACAAAGTGACCCCGAAGAGAAACCCCAGACAGAGCTTTCGGTTATGTAAGATGGCCTAACATCAGCCAAGAGGGACAGAGGACATCAATTCTGAAACCCTCGGTAATGGGTCTGAGCACTCTCTAAGCCAGAGGTTCTCAACCTGTGGGTCGCGACCCCTTTGGCAGTTGAACGACCCTTTTACAGGGGTCGCCTAAGACCATCCTGCATATCAGATATTTACACTAGAATTCATAACAGTAGCAACATTACAGTGATGAAGTAGCAACGAAAATAATTTTATGGTTGGGTCACAACATGAGGAACTGTATTTAAAGGGCCAGAAGGTTGAGAACCACTGCTCTAAGCTAAGGTGTATCTATGTCAATGCAATTCTTGGGAAATAACTTGTGCTTTGTTTTGTTTTTTAATCCTCACCTGAGGATGTGTTTTCATTGATTTGAGAGAGGGAGAGGGAGAGAAACATCCACATGAGAAACATAGATGGGTTGCCTCCCACACCAACTGGGATCAAATCTTCAACCTAGGTATGTGGCCTGACCTGGAACTAAACCAAAGACCCTTCAGTGCACGGGGCTACACTCCAGCCAACTCAGCCACACTGACCAATGCAAGAAATGACTTTTCTTTGATTATCATACTCTGGGGTAAAGGTGCTGACTGTATGTTTGGAAGAAATGATCAAACTTCCACTGTGCACCATCACAGATGAGAAAGCGACCATTGAAAAAGCCCAGATCAGTGGAGCTCACTGTGTTAAAACAGTCCCCTCCTTCTCCTCTGCCCCTGGTCATTCCATGAAAGCCGCACTTCCTTCCCCTTTGTGTTCTGAAGAGGAGCTTCGGCAACCGAATGGCACTTTAGGATTGGAAGTAGCAACATTCGGAAGCATACCCATAAAAAAGGATTTGGAAGCCTCAATAAGAAAAATTCATTTTCCAATCAAAACATATTAGCTCAACAACTACCAACCCACCAGAAAGGACTCAAAGTAATGAAAGCCATAAGAGGAATGAGGGAGAAAAAAACGAGGGATGATAACTTTCTTTGCCGTCAGACCAGCCCTGTCCTATTAAACAATCAGCTGAACTCACACTGGTATCTTTCAAGCACCCTCCCCATCCATCTCTTCCACCCCCTGGGCAGGGGAATCCCTTGCATCGCTCTCCTCAGCGTTGTGGAAGAAATGCAGGTGAGCCAGGGATGTCTTAGTCCCTGTGATTCTGCAAAGGCCTTAGACATTCCAAACACCCATTTGGTAAGAGCTCCTGCCACCCTTTTTCAGTCATGTTCATACTCAATGCTTACTGTGCACCAAGCCCTGCACTGGGCACTTTATATGGACGCTCTCCTTTGAGTTAGAAGTTGTATGTTACTGGCATCATTTTACAGTTGAGGAAAATGCGTTGGATAACTTGCCCAAGGCCACAGAGCTCATGCATGCAGAGCAGGGCTTGAACCCCAGTGATCTGACTCCAAATCCAGCCTTCCATCCATTGTTCTAGCTCACGCTATGGTTTTAGGGTGCATGCAGGCTTCAATGACTTCCCCAGGCACACACATACCCAAGCCCTATGTCTGACTTCCAACACCACCCACCAGAGGAAGACTTCCCTTCTCTTGAATCTAACTGGACCCCATAGAATGGCTGTAATCAGTGCATGAAAAGTAAGTGGCCCACACCTGGGAGCCAAGATGAAATTGCACCATGTTGTGTTGTGGGACAGCTTCTTGACTTCCTGAAATCCACCCAACAGTGAAGGAAAGTAGAGATAGTTCAGATCATTCTATACCTTCTGGTGAGTGGAAGGACTTCAACCTCAGATGAGCTCTGACACTTAGCGGCACTTTGCAAAAGGGAGGTTCCAGAGAGGAGGCCGTTTCTGGACTATAAAGTATTATGTTCAAAGGGGAAAAAACTCTAGCCTTTTTCAATTTTTTTCAAGAACTGTTCCTAAAGAGAATGCTTATTAATCTCAGATAATGTGATCTACTACTGGGTCCCTTTAATTAGAAAAATTTTCCCCCAATGCAAATTGAAAGTGATAACTCCATGTGCCAACTTCAAATACACCAAGCTATAAAACAGCTCCAAAAGGACAATTCATGGACATGAAGGCTGTAAGGCAATTTGCAAAAACATCACATGCGTTTGTTTTATATGAATGTCTATACAGAATTAAAATGAAACTGAAAGGGAAGGAATTCACTGTACAGAAGACAAAACAATACCCTTTTTATTTTTAAAACTCTGGTGAAATAGCTTTCCATATGACATCCCATTTTTAAAAATTAATGTAAACCAACCTGCCTATGGGTTAGTCACGCTGTAGAGACTTCACCTTAGTGTGTACAGATACCTAGAATATTTACAAATATTGTCTGTTAGGTAGTAAAGTTTTGTTGCAATTTTTCCAGCACATTTTCCACAGTAAAATAAAGGGGGGGATATTGGTGTTCTTGTATAAGAATTCTTAACAAATGAATAAAGGCAATTTTCCTGAGAGAAGATTTGTTCTTGAAATATTTTTCTTTAACAATTGGGAATATAGAAATGGGATGTAGTTGTAAAAGAAGCATAAGAATGTCTAAGTTAACATTTTTCTTTTAAATTATTTAAGTACCATTAAGTTAAAATGTTTACATTCATTATAAAAAATGTTGTTAAATCTTATGCAAATGATTTAACACTGATTGCTGCAACGCAAATTGCACTTTTTAAAAAAATTATTGTATACATGGAAGAAAAATATCTTGTTTGCTACCCTGTTTACAAATTCCAACTGACTTCAGGTCAGTCACACAACATGAACTTTGAGAAACGCCAGTCACAGTGTATGTTACAGTTACGATGCAGTCCTGCAAACTGAGCAATATTTTTGACAAGTGACCTCATGAACCGACTCAGCCTCCAGAGGTGTGTACCAAATGGCCTCAAATGGTCTTCTCCGTGAACGCGTGTGAAATCTGGGTGTGGAAAGGTATTAAGAAATCAGAAGAAGCACATGATTTGGGGCAATACACATAAAACCTTTCTTTTAAAATCTCAATATTCCTTGGCAGGCAAGGCCCCAGGCCTAGTCCAGGTTTCTGGAAGTGGCACAGCGGGTGCCCTGGCAGACCCAGAGGCAGGCTGGTTGGAAGTGGCCGCAGCCAGGGAGGAGGCAGCGTGTTGTGGGCTGCACCGGCCTTCCCAGGAAGCGCTCCATCTTCTCCCTGGCTCTTCATTGACAGGGGCTGGCTGGTAAGGCAGAACAAGCCTCTTGGGAAATGCATCTCTTTCAAAATAAAGGCACGGAAATCACACATCAGAGGAATGTTCTGTCAGCATACTCGCCCCAGTTTGCACAGTGTGGCATAATCACCGCAGGTCCCGAGGGCCTCCCCGCTCCAGCAGCGGCAGCAGGCTCAGGCCAGGGCAAGTGCACACCACGAATCCTGTCTCACCGAGGAGGACGTGACTTCGGCCGGTGAGGCCAGGCTGACGCCTATGTACAGCCCATCTTGACCTGAGTACTTGAGCTCGCTGTTCTCGGGGTTAGTGCTTTCTCCTGTGCCAGGCATCACCGGGGCACCCGCCTGGCAGAAGATGGGGACAGAGAGGAGGAGAGAGTTATATCCATAAATTTGTTAAGTGTCATGCTCCTACTAGGTCAACACATGGGGACAAGTGAGATGGGCAGTACAGCCTGGCCAGGGCAGTTCACTGTGCTGCCCAGTGCCATTGACCTAGCCCTGGAGATGTAAGCTCTCACAAACATTCCCCTGTTATCTTGAGGACTCATGGCAATAACCACACAGCAACATGTTCAGCTGGACAAAAGTAGAAAAGGAACTGGAAGAAGAAACCTATTTGTAAAAAGTGCCACACAATCTAATCATTTCAAGAGAAAATGCAGAGCATCGAACACACACACACACACACACACACACAGCAGAGCCATAAGGTTTAGTAGTTATGTCAAAGCCTAAAAGAGAAAGCTACACAGTTCAGCAAGGCCTGATAAATGAAATTTTTGAGGACTGACTTCATGGAAAATTAACCGATGCATATACAGACTTAGTATCTAACTCATTTACCTTAATTCTTTCCAAGAAGAATGGACTATGTTTGAAGCAGACCACACTATAACCAGAATAGAAACACCCTTTATCTGTCATGATTGTGGCAATTTTTTCTCAAAGCAAAAGATGACCTTTACATTGTTTTATTCATTCCTTCTATCCACATGAGTAAGGCCATATAGAAAACATACAATTTATGTGATATAATTTAGTAGAATAAAACTAAAATAACTAAAATCATGTTTAGGCTATGGCTTGAGAAAGCAGTGCATTGAGTTGTTTTTGTTTAAATCCAGCCATGCCTTAGCTGGTTTGACTCAATGGATAGAGCGTCAGCCTGAGGACTGAAGGTCCCAGGTTCGATTCCAGTCAAGGGCACATGCCTATGTTGTGGGCTCGATCCCCAATAGGGGGTATGCAGGAGGCAGCCATTCAATGATTCTCTCATCATTGATGTTTCTATCTCTCCCTCTCCCTTCCTCTCTGAAATCAATAATAATATTTTTTTTAAATCCAGGCATAATCACATAAACCCATTATTTCTTCTGTGCTTTCAGGATTCTACCCCATAAATTACTAGATACTTGTTTTTTGACACAGGTGGAATGTTTTATACTTCTCAAAGCATTCACTTACATACACAATCCCAGTAAATCCTTGAAACATGTGTCTGGCTGGATTGATGTTACATTCACTTCTGAGATTCACAGGGTACCTAGATACCAGGCTGAACTGATTGGAAGGTGCGTGGAGTCCCCTTGGTTCCTGGGGCCTGGAAATAAATGTGGCCCTACACTTCCCCAGATAAAATCTGGTTTTCTCTTTAATCCTCACAATAACCGCATGATGCTAGGACGTAAGGTTTTAGGAGATCTAACCATATGACTTCCTGTTTTCCCATCCCAACTTCCTATTAATTGGACAGACCAAAGCCAGCCCCTCTATAGGTATCCTTTCTTTTCCTAGCCAACATGAGTGTATGTTAAAATCCAGCCACAACAATACCCCCACACCCTTACCTCTTTTTAAGTAACACAAACTTAAAGACTTAAAGTGAGGGTTTTAGGTGCATAAAAAAGCAAATTTCAAAAAGTCATTGACATGCCTAAAATTTAAAATAGATCCTTATGAAATAGCTGAAATAATCCTGTCAACACACTAAAGCTATGGATTTGGTTGCAGATAGAAATATGGTGATTAACTTCAGCCCTTAAATCCAGAACCTCCACAATTAGCAAAGCCAATGTGGATCCAGACTTAACTCCCAGAGCAATAAACAAAAGGGTGGTATTAAATTACAAAAGGGCTCTTCATTTTAGAGTCTTCAATAGCTATCATTCAACTAGTAGAAAGAGTAAGCTCCTTTATAAATGACTTATGCCACACTCAACTTTGTGTTGATTGATTTATTCCCCCAAAATAAGCACATGTGCATTTATCTGACTTTGGCGTAGCCAGTGCTATTCTCTGAAATGAAGAGGGTGCCTGGATTGGCCCAGGAAACAGTCCACCTCAAATAACCAGACGTGCTGAGATAGCAGAGCAGTCTGTCGTCACCACAAGTCAGTAACAAGGAACAGTAGCAAGGTACCCATGAGAGTCAGGCACTGAGACTGTGAGCCCCAAAGAGATAGTTACTCCCTGGACCAGCTCCCAGGCCACATGAGGAGCCAGGACACTCACACACTCGACAGTAAGACTGCTCAACAGCCTATCGTAAATGATAAATGAGTGGCTGAGACAGGGAGGTGCGGTAAGAGGTCATAAAAGGAACCAAAGAGGGGGAAGGATTCCTGGAGAAGAGCCACAGCAGCCTGCACTGGGGGGACAAGCATGGGCTTTCGAGTACTGTCCTGATTCTGCCACCCACTGAGTGTGGTCACCTCCCTGAGCCTCCTCCTCAACCGGCCCTTGCCTCACCTGCCCCAAGTATGGTTGAGTCAATTCATTGAGATGTTTGTAAAAGCATCAGCATGATGCGTGGCCATATGTTAAAACATTCCATTAAAAGAAAGGGTGCTCAGGTGGGAGGTATGCAGGACATGGGGAGACCTGTTCACAGGAAAACCAGCTAAAACAGAAGTGGTAAGCAAAGGAGTTAGGAGAAAATGTGGGAGAGATAAACTAGAAGACCTACCGTATTTGCCGGCGTATAAGACGATTTTTTGGCCCTGAAAAATATGCCTCCAAGTGGGGGGTCGTCTTATACGCCAGGTACACTTCAGATAGACTGCCCATAGTGCTTGCCCCGTGCCATAGTGGCTTCCCGATGCCCGCCCACTTCATTCCACATACCGTTCAGGCATCAGCAGCGCTGCTGGGTGTATGCTCGGCTGTTATGCGATTTTGCTGTTATGCGATTTTACCACACTCGCAAAATCGCACACAGCCGACCACACACCCAGTATGATAGCGCAAAATCGCGAATCGCGATACCATACTGGGTGTATGGTTGGCTGTGTGCGATTTTGCGAGTGTGGTAAATTCGGGTTACCGTATATTTCTTTACATATGCATTGAATTTTAAAGAAGGC